CCCTGCCAGAGACAGACTTGTCCATTAGCTGACTAGTGTACACCCTTAGAGCCACCTGGAAACACACTAGTTCCATGAACATGTGAAGGTAGATCATCAAAATAGGTCTCTTGCTTCAATGGGAAAGATGCAGCTCCAAACTAAAGGAAGCAATGGTCAGTCAATGACAAGAATGTAACCCCACTTCCATCTTCTGACCTCCAATCACATCTCAGAAACAAAATGTAGATATACAGAGACAGAAAATGCCTAGGAGAAACAGACACAAAATCCTCTACAGCCAAGAAATCTTTCACTGACATGGAATGATCACCATCAATTGCATGAAATTTGAAATCAGCAAGAATGGTCTTACTATTTAAAAGGAGATGTATGGCTTCTAAAATGTCTGGTGGTGGATTGTATACAGTCCTCACACATACAGAAAATTCTTTGGAATGCATAAGTCCAAGAAAATTAATTATTTTGAACCATTAAATAGTAAGAGGCTTGCATACATTTACATAAAGCCTGATTTTGGCCCTGAACATGTGGACAGAGATAAAAGTAGCAGAATAACTAAAGACTGAGTATGGTCAAAAAATAAATCCTGATCTATGTTAACAATAAATCATTGCAACCGAAAGCATTTTAAATAAACCTTGGAAAACAGGAACAATTTTTCATAAACATTTGCACAAAAAGAATTGTCTCATTTTTGGATGAAACGTTTGTGATCCCCCCCAGCTCTAGTTTTAAAAATCTCATATACTTTTTACTGGTTATGCTGTGTATTTACTTTTTATTTTCCCCGCAGTTTGGACATTGTTGAGTTTTTGTGCCTTAGAACAATTCTGCTAAGTTGATGTTGTTAAAAACAAACAAATAATTCTACTACTTTTTCTTTTTTGTCATTAATGGAGGCATATCTATTGGTCTGAGTTTTTGTAAAATACCGATCTTGCAATTTGCAACCAAATTTGACTTAATAGTGTCTTACTTCTGGAAACATTGAAAGACAATATGTAATGGCCAGAGAACTGTGAAGGACTTGAGAGCTCAAACGAGCATGATTAAGATGGGGTGTTTTTTAATCATAAATCTTCATTGTTTGTTTCTTTCATAAGGCACTTAGGTAATTGCTCGGCAAAAAGCATTGTGAAAATTCAGATGGGGATACTAACAAAAATGAATCATTTAAAGAATATAGCATTACAATAGGCTATATCAATATCAAATTAATCAACACTGAAAACCAACAGGCCTAGAAAAGTGAGAGTATAAAGAAATGAAAAAAATAATCAACAAGAAAATTGAAAATCAATGTTAAAATTAGAAAAGAACATTCAATATGAAAGTAAGTGAAATATGAATAACATGGAGATTTGAAATGCTTTAATGTTAGGAACCAGATGAGCATTGCTTTGTCCATAGGGTAATTAAAGTAATTGAACCTTAGATTGTGTATTTTATTTGACAGAACATGAAGCAATGGCAGTCGGGGAGGTCTAGGTTGGATATTAGGAAAAACTGTTTCACTAGGAGGGTGGTGAAGGAATGGTTTACCTAGGGATGGGTTACCTAGGGTGGTGGTGGAATCTCCATCCTTAGAGGTTTTTAAGGCCCGGATTGACAAATCCTTGGCTGGGATGATTTAGTTGGGGTTGGTCCTGCTTTGAGCAGGGGGTTGGACTAGATGACCTCCTGAGGTCTCTTCCAACCCTAATCTTCTATGAGTCTATTGATAGTTTGGGGCCTTTTTCTTCAAAAAAGTCACACCAGACAGATTGAAACTATGGGTGTTTAAGAAAGCCCAGAGGAAGCCCTGGAAATGCAGTTATACTATTTCACCCATGTCAAACCATTATGTGTAAATCCAACAATCTGCACAAGGGGCTCTGATTATAGGATTGGGCTCTACATTTGTGTGATGATTTGGGGGCTCTATCTGTACAATGTCAGAATCCTGGTTGACATTATAAAATTATAAGTCATTACTATGAAACAAAATTGCTGTATCGTGAATGCCCCTCTGCATGTGCATTCCCCATGAGCTTCAGGGTTATGTCAGTTCTCTGCCAGAACAGAGACAACAGATGGTTGTTAAAGGACTGTCAGTTCCTGAAAGGTCTTACTTGGGGAGAACAAAAGAGTAACTGCACCATAGGGAAAACCAGTTCTCTCACTATTCCCTCTGCAGGGGGCTGGTGTTGGGAGAATGGAAAATACCCAATCAAGACAGAGCCAAATGTGACAAAGCAGGGGGTTGAAAGGAACTCACAGGTGGAAGACTGGGAGAGACACACAGGAAGTTTGGACAGCAGGAAGGAAGGAGAAAGAAGGCCAAGGTCTGAGAAGAAATGCTGGGAGAGAGAAATCTCCATGTGTTAGAACACCAGCTATGTAATGGGTCAGAAGAGCTCTGCACAGGCCCCAAAACTCTGATTCCTGCCCAAAGAATGCTCTGGAGTGGTGAGGAAAATGAAGCAAGGAAATTCCTGTAAGATTTATTATTTTTGCATAGATCTATGTATTTCACATGTGATTAAGCAAAGAGCAATAATATGTTAATTTTATGCAAAGTATCTCTGTGTTGTATGCTGCACCTACAACATGGCCACTTGAAGAGGTAAACCTGTGGGTGGAGATCTGGGAAAGAGTATGTTTAATCTCCGGGCCTGAGGTGTCAGCACTGGTTCCAGGGACTGGATAGAGGGTGCTAGCTCTTGAACCCCAAGAGTGTCTGTAAGGACCCCAAGACAGATGCAGTGACTGGACTTTGTTCAGATTCTGGTGACTTAAAGCACCTGAGGATTCAACATCTGAATCCCTTCACAGGAATCAGAGGGAGCCAGACCAGATCTATGACAGTTTGTCCATGGGGAGCACGAGCCTGACTACACCATAGGGAAAACCATTTCTCTCACCATGCCCTCAGCAGGTGGCTGCTGTTGGGAGAATGGAAAATTCCCAAACAAGAAAGCTATGAAGGGCTTTTGAAAATCTATGTTTTGGGTTTAAGTGCCTTAATCCCTTTGTGGAACTAGCTCTAAATGATTTAACCAAGGCCACCCAGGAAGTATACGGCCAAGCAGAGAACTGAATCCAGGTTTCCCAAGTCCCAGGCTAGCCCCTAATCACTGGACCATCCTTCTACTTATTTTTGTATTTCTTTTGCCCTATGTAAATATTTGCCTTTGTGAATGTTACACTTTAACCTTTTGTGATTTTACTCACATGCTTCAATAAAGGATTGGCTGCTTACATCCCAGACAAATAAGGTATGTAATAACCAAGGGAGAAATTAATCCATATACCAAAACTCCAGCACAAGGCCCTTCACTTAACCCCTGGGTAGAGCTATATGGTGGGGGCCATGCAAGTTGTCTCTGTGCCAGTCCCACATAGGCCAGTACAGAGAGTGGCATTATGAGTGGGAGGGGAGGCATACTGCAGGATCCACCACCATGAATAGGCCATAGCCCTAACACTCCATGGATGTGTATGGACAGTGGACATTATTCCAGCCCATAGTCATTTAATGCCTCCTCTGCACCTTGTAATTCATCTGCATTAATCCCAATTATTCTGGCTTTATGTGGGTGAAGTGATTTTTCACTCTGAGATGCTAACTGTCTGCTGTTGCTAATACAGGGCATGTGAATTGGGGACAATCATGCATACAGCATGGTTCTGCATACAACATGGGTTTTAGAAAGGATGGACAGGGATTTACATGTGTCAGATATTTAGAATCAAATTTCAGTTTGACATCTCTTGATAAATTCTGTTTCCAAATGTGTGGGCATCTGACATATTCCAATATTTTTAGAGGTTACATATTTCAATCTATTCTTGTATTTTTTTTGTTTTTAAACAAAAGTTTCAGCTTCATCACATTTACAGGCAAGAATTGAAGAATGAAAAGAGTCAGTGAATTTTGAATGTGGGTGAAACAACATTTGGGTAGTCTGACATTTTGCTTTCAAGGGTCAAGAAATAGAGCAATTATAGTTGTAGTAGTCTAGACAGCAATGTCTCACAATAAACTGTCTTGCTAATTGCAGAATGTTTACAGAGAAGGTTATAACAGGCATGAAGCAAGATTGACTGGAACAAATTTGCTCTTTTTACATCCTTTTAAAAATAGATCCCACATTTTCCTCAATATTTCAAATCCTTGGATAAATATTGAGATGCAGTTGTAACCTCTTTTTTATGATGGCAAAATTATGCCCCCTGACATTCTGTCCTTGCCCCTCCTCTTTTTCCCAAGACCCTGTCCCCGAGGCTCCTCCCCTTCCCCCGGAGGCCCCACCCCCGCCAAACCGGAGTGGGGAGCAAATGCCAAAAATGCAGACATGCCCAGGTGGAACTCACTGTATTGGTTTTAACCTTTAAATCCTCAAATTATTTGGGTCCAGATTACCTGAGAGACCAGCTCACCTTTCTGGGCCATTCTACTACATGATCAGCAGAGAAATATGAGCTGATGCTCCCTAAGTACAAAAGAGAGAGCATTTCTGGCATTACTCAGAAAGGCCCTTTGACTTGGGACATGCTTGATTGCTACTAGAGTTCAAGTTTGTTAAGCAGGCAGGATGCAAACCTTATCTATTTTTTTCTTACACATTGAAGAAAAAAGAGCAGAGGGGCTACTTCTGGGGAAATGTTTGCATTAGGATTTGTTTATAATTGCAAGTGCATTATGCAAGGGATAGAAGCAGATTACTGGACATTTTAAATGTTGTCAAGGGGAGGGCCAGAACTCTGAGATAGGTACTTTTTTGTCTATTGTATACATCAAATTAAATAAAACTGTACAAATAAAGTAGGGCCAATTGTATGGATTTAAATTTTTATATCTCACAAACCACCAAATATTTGAAATCACCAACTCTGACAGGAAAACAATCATAGAATCATAGAAGATTAGGGTTGGAAGAGACCTCAGGAGGTCATCTAGTCCAGCCCCCTGTTCAAAGCAGGACCAACACCAATCTCAAATATCACTAAAGAAGTGTGAAAATAGACCACACAATCTTTTATTTATTTACATTTCTATACATACACAAGAAAAAGGTGCCTCTCATATGCTCTCTGTGGCATCAACAAAACTTAAAGATATCCCATAATCAAAATAACACTCCAATTGTAGAGTCTCTCAGGGGTCCAGAAGAGAAGATGACATTTAACTGTACGCATAAGAGTCAAAGTATATTGTTTGTTATTTAAATTACATTCCTATTGGCCATACTTCTCAAGCAGATAAATATTGATCTGCAGTTAGAAATTTAAGCTTACATTTTAAACCTAACATTTTACTTTTACCTTTACAACAAACAAACAAGAACCCAAGAAAGGGAAATTACCTGCATATATTTGCTTAATATCTAACCCGTTTAGTGTGGAATTTTATGGATTTCAATTACCTCTAACTCTTATGAGAGACATTCGTCTTTCATTTTAACTGCCGCTGTCAAATAAGAAATGTGTGAACTTTTTATTCTTATTACTTCCCTGAGGTCAGGCAAAAAGATAGCATCCTAATTTTCTCAAGAATCACCACAGCCATTTTACATTTTGTATAAAATTCCAAAAACAAATTAGTTAAAATGAATTTAGGGCTAGTGGATTCCCTGAGGGAATGAAATTGTACATTTAGCTATGAAAGAGGTATAACACAAGCAAAGTTAATATGCAGCCCTTCCAATGTGACTCAACACTTCACTGAAGAGGATGGGACCCCCTCTTGGAATCAGAAGATAGTTTAGTCTCCACTCCTATTCACTTCCATATAACCTGTGCAGGTCTCAGAAACAGTCAGTGTGAGTCCATATGCTGTATTGGCACTTCTCTGATGTGACCATCTTCTTCTCTAGACTCTCAGCTTTCACTAAAAGCAGCAAGTCATTTATAATGTGAAGAAAACCTCAAAAATGTGACCCAAAGGTAGCCAACACAGGGGTGTCTGTAAGAATCTGCAGAATGCCTAGAACAATAGCTCTGAGACACATGAACTGCCTTTCCATCTCAGTAGGGTGCTAACTCAGATGCCCAGTGCTGAGAATCATATTGACATTTACATTAACTATTTAAATCTTCATTTAAGAAAAGAAAGGGAGGATCACAGAGCTGCACAATTTACCGTGACACTCTGTATTTTTTCTCCCAATCAAGAAGGCAAGCCTAAGGAAAGCAACCAAGCCCATGGGCATATTCCACTGAAGAGGGAGTGGGGAAGCTAAGCAGAACTCAGAGAGCACATAATTGCATTTTGAATTTCTGCACAGCCTACAGCGAATGGTCTCTCATTTGGATTTCTCACCTGAGTTGCATTTGTGGAAGAGTACCACTACCTTTTCCCCCTCTAATCTGACACCTAAGTCTATGGAGCTTTTAAGGTTCCTTTCACCTTTGTATTATATTTAAGTACAGAACAAAATGTTGATAAAAGAAAGTCCAGAATATTTTATGTTTTCTCTTTCCAGGATCCCAGGGGACAATTGACATGGTAAACCCATTAAACTGCTAGAACCTTGCTTACACTGGGGCTTCTAATAGTGTTGCAATTGGTGAAGCTAAATGGATGGTTTGAACCATAAGATTTGTTTGTTTTTTTCTGAAATCCCCAGCCTTGGAAGGTTTTGAAAATAAGCTGGCAGTCAGGTCCCATTCAGCTAAGAGATCTGTAGGTTAGGGGCAGGACTTTGAAATCTGCTCTGAAATAAGTGAGGATGCATTTGCACTTTAATGCACAGGTGACGTGTTCACGTCACCATTTGCTGGTATCAGGCATGTTGCTGAGTGCTGCATCAATCCTCTTATAAAGTTATGTTCAATGATGGGTAGAGCAAGACACAGTACTCTAACATGAAGATGAAAAAAATGTATTGATCACAATGGCTAGAAGCTAGGAAGAACACCATTTCATGGATATTTTAAGACATCATAAGGCATTCCTCACCATTGCAGCAATGTGTGTCCAGGAGCATGATGGGTCCAGCATAAATCTGAGACTCCAGACCACTTTGAGGAACTTCCTTTGATTTTAGTGACTGAGGGCATCAGACCACTTAGTGTGCTTCACCCTTTTTACTAACATAATTTTCAATTTTTCATTGCATGAGTTGAGCCAAAGCTTTTCATCAGTCTGCTGCTTTCTTCTTTCTTCTATGTTGGGATATATTGGCGATGCTGCAGGTCTGCAAATTGTGGGGAGTGTGTTTGCCAAAGTGAAATAATAATTGGGGGGCTGGTTTCACTCCTTTGGGGATGAGGAGCCAGAGGGGAGAGTCCTTAAACTTCAACAGGAAGTCCTGCATGTTGCAGTCATGTCTGCTCAGGAGCGCCTGCTGTCAGTGATCCTGAGCTGCAGACCCCCAGTTGAGTAGATGTTTCTACCAAAAAGGTCCAGCTTTTTGGAGTCCTTCATCTTGGGAGTCTCTCCATCCTGAACTCGGCTTTGTTAGGGGAGGAGGAGATTGGCACTGGCTGAGGGCATTCCTCCTCATTTTTGCACCGGTTGGGTGACACCATATTGGCTCCTGGTACTCAGCACTAGCCTCAGTATTGGAGTTTGGGGACGGCCCGAAGAGGTGGTAGAGCCCTTCCTTTTGAGGTCATCGAGTAGGAGTGCCTCGACTAGGGTCCCTACATTGGAGAAACACCCACAAGTTCCAAAAGGGCCAATTAATAGACACCAGCCAGTGACCAAAGGGCCAAGTACCCAAAGGCATTACCTGGTTTGGGTCCACTACTACATAGGGCCGACAGGAGGAGTGTCAGGGTCAACTCCTGGCATGTCTTCAGGTCCCACCATTTAACACAGGTCTCAGTGATTTCAGTTGTTAGTGGGGGAGCCTCACTGCTGGTGCACGCTGAGCAGTCTCTTGCATCAGAGACACTGTCCCAAAACAGTTCTAACGCTTAGACCCAGGTATCAGTGATTTCAGTTCTGCAGTTTGTAACAAGACTCTCAATTGCATTTCTGTGTTGCTTCCTGTTCTGATGCCCAATGACAAGGGAATCCAGGACATTGACAGAAAACAGGTGCTTACTTGGTATCTGCCAAGTTTATCAATAAGCATGTCAATTTTGTGCCAAATGGAGTTACGCATTTAAGAGGTGCATACTTGTCCACTGGCACCTGAACTGAGCCCACCAACTCATTTCACATAGGCCACAAGCTTTCATTCACTCCTAACCTAGGCTGAATGTTTACCAGCATACCATAGGGGAAGGACTTTAATCTCATAATCCATTCAACAAGCCACCTCCAGCCATACCTGTTAAAAAAAAACAAAAATCTATTAATATTTTGGTAGCACCCACTACGTGTTTAATACTATTCATAATAGAGTTCCTGCCATGAATTTCAAAGTTATAACATTCATAAAACAATTACTAACCAAAATTATACTTCACAGGATAAGGCGATCTGACAGAGTGAAACAATGTATATATTAGTCTGATTATTAGAATCAATTATTGACCTACTGCAGGGAAAAAAATCAACAATACATTCATCCCCCGCCCCCCCTTTTTGTGTTTTACTTATAAAACAAACAAAGTTATTTGCATAACATAGATTTTGGTCTGAAGCAAATAAACGCAAAGGGTTTGGGAATGTTCAAGATACAGTCATCAATAAGAACAATGTTAAGGGCCATAATCAATAAGTTTACAAGGCTGCACTCATAGGCCACAATGAAATCCATTTGACTTAATCAGGTTTCCTATTTTTCTGGTAAATATATAGCAATTTTGGACTATAGCCAAGCCCTGTCTACTGAGGACAATTATAAACCACTGCAGAACAACTTGCATGATCCACACGGCTCCCAAGTCAAAGTAGCATATTAGCAAACACATTCTATGAGGTTGACAGATTTCATTTATTTTCCTTTTTCCACCTTTTATTTCACCCTGTGACCGATTATTTACATTTCCTTTCTTCTTCCTATCCCTCCCCCCCCCTTTTTTTTTTTTTGCACTAGAATAAAAACTCCACAGCCGTGCTTGGAATTCAGATGAATGATTTCATAAGCTTATCACATATACTGTAGCAGTCATAGATCAAAAACATGAAACATTCCCTCAACATAAAGGTACATTTTGCTGAAGCCCCCTTGTAAAGTCTATGGTTTAAGGACATTGCTCACGTTACCATACAACTCTGAACTCAATGAGCTTCGCATATTTTTTGAAAGATGAATGCCTTTTCTGAAGCTCTCTTTTTTCCCCATAGGAGCACTCAACATTTACATTCTTCAAGGATTTCAGGTGACAAAGTTAGAATACTAGGGCCCAGCACTGAATACCTAGCATTCAGTACCTCACAGGATAGGGTTGTCAAGGAGCATGAGCAGTAATTCTCATGCACAAACAGGAGGTAACAAACGGGGCAGACACTTGCAGACTCTTATCTTACACATTTTACTAGGTGTGTCAAACAGGCCATTGTGAAACATCAGGTAGGTGTTTCCTGGCTACAGATAGCATAGAATTGCCTGTGTTAGAAATATGCTGAATGTGAAAAATCAGTTCTATTTATCATCCTTTCATTTTCCCTCAAAACTTTAAATACCATATTTAATAGACAAAGGTGTACGGACAGTAACAGGCAAAAGTTCTTCCCATCATGCAGCCTGAATTACTAGGACTGCGATCCTTGCTCTGCAGAAGCAACTCCCAGTTTAATTGCTTGAGTACTGTAGCCCCACAGGCACTCCCCTTCTTCTGCCTGTGGAGTCGAAGGACTGGAGGTTTAGCATGGTGGTTCTTGCCCAACCCTTCCCACAGTCCACTATCCCTGCCCACCCCATGGGCACAGTCATTAAAGGAGTGAACCCATCCTGTGAAGCTTTCCTTAATTATGCTCTCTGTTATCTATCAACTCTGTGTTCTTGGGGAACTAGGGCACAATACCCAGCCTGTCTGCGAGTACCCAGTACCCAGACATTACCAGGACTGTCTCACAAAAGTCCTTCCCTCCACCAGCCTCTGCGTGAACCAAAGCCGATCAGAAGAAAGACTAACAAAAAGCAATGAAAAGGCAGTGGAAGACACACCTAAACCCCTCCGGACAAGGGTGACAGGATTAAGGAAACTTTCCTAACCTCATTTGCATCAAAGATGGGATGGGGAGGCATCCCCATTAGCATACAGAATGGAGAACAGAGATTCCAAGGCAATAACTGCACTGAACTCTGGGACCAGAAAAGCAGGGAAGCATTGCATGATGGGGGATCTCTGCTCCAGATGTTAATGAACTCATGCCTGCACACACCCAGCTCAGTAGTTATCAGACCAATTCTAGTAATAAACCCTTTATTGGTATCCAAAATACTGAACTGCCTAATTGCATTGTGAGCTCCCTCGAAGGAACACCACTCAGCCAGGAATGATCAGTTCCTATCATCTAGCCTGAACAAAACAACTTTGATATATTCCCTTGAGTCATCAGTTTACACGTAAACAAATCTAGTGTTCTCCCTTGAACCATTGTTCCTTCCCTACAAAACTCCTACCCATGCTCAAGTAAGTGCTCTGATGCCTGGATCCAAAATCTGCATCAGTTCCATTGGGACTTCATCTTCTCCTGACTGATCATGCTGGGAGCTCTGCCTGTCTCCAGCACTCCGGACCCTTAGCTACCACAACCACGTGGGACCCCCGATCAATTCAAGCTTCATGGAGTGGTGAAAACTCTCTCTAACCTTCTGACCCTGACTTGTGTGATCAGTTATAGTTTTCTAAATTTTATAATCAAATTTAAGTTAGATTTAATATTATAACTGTTTTGTTTGTTTGGCTCCCCTTATATGGTTATTACCTGACAATAAATAACTTTCATAGTTAAGCTGGTTGCTTCTCTCTCTCTCCCCCCCCCTCGTAGGTGTTTTTTGGCTTCCCCATTCGCTCTGCAGCAATGCTCCTCATACCTAAGTTAAAGATCCCTGTAGCGCCCAAAAATCCTGTGAGGTTTGCTCATCAAGTGGGTTACTACCAGAAAAATTGTAACATGAAAGTGGGGATAGGGACATGCTGAACTGAGTCCAGGGACATATAAGGGGTCAGCTCGGGAGTGCTGATTAATCTGTTCCTCTCAGACGTGCTCTGTTAATGTGTGTGTGTGTGTTTGTCTGATTCTGAGGCAGGAGGAACCCAGCACAGGGAACCTAGGTCCTGCAGGATAGCTCCATTGGGAGGGAACTTGTATAAGGGAGAAGTAGAGCTCCATATGAGAACACAAGTGACACAAGCAGTACATTGATAGAATTACAGAACCCCTCCTCCCACAGAAGAGTAACCCTAGGAAATGAGCTTACCCCAAAGTAACAGACAAATCTGGTAACATCTCACATATGCACACTTGTGCCAGAGTATCTGCTAAACCTTTGTCAGAGGAGGAAGGATGTGCCTCTTAGCATACACAGCCAAAATTTGTCACTTGACAACAGATTTTATTATTTTCAACTCTCCAATTCTCATGTCACACAATTACGATAAAAACCACACCACCTAAGTCAGCCTGAAGATTAAAGACCAATAACACATATTCAAATGTAATGTTCTTAATTTTTTGACTCCCTCACATGTGTTTCCCCTACCTGTGTTCCCTTTGTGTTCTGGTTTCTATAATGTGCATGCTATTCTCTGTACACCTTGTTTTCTCTCTAAGTTGAGATACCTGTAAAAAAAAAATCCAAAATGGCCAGATGATATGGTGATGTACGCTGCATTAGATCAGGCAGAATTTTCCAAACTGTGTTCTAAAATATCCCAAGTGTGGACAGCTGGCTGGCCAGATGATGCTGTTTCAAGAAGAAACACAAAAGATGGAATGGGAGATTAAAGGAATAGTAAAAGACAACTCTGTAATACTCTTTTCAATGAGAATACATAATCTATTGTATTAACGACAGCTAAAAATAATACATATGGATGTTGTATGATCATGCATTAGAGCAGAGGTGTCAAGGAGATAATGTCTCTATTAATATGTGGCCCCCTAGGAAAAAGTTTGGGAACCCCTCATATAAAGATGCAGAAGTTCCTTTAATTTCATTTCAGGTTGGTGGCATGCTCTTCTACTTCATCTCAGGTCAAGTGATTCAGTATTTGTAAGTCAAGACTGAAACCATTTCTCATGTTCATGTTTTGATGTTATGTGATTTACAGTTTTCACATTATTTTGTACACCATGCTGGCACTTGTCAAGGATGATTTATAAATATCTAAACCTTTCATTGACTCAAACTCAGCTGCTATCCTGTCATGGAATCATAGGGTTTGAAGGGACCATAAGAGTCATCTAATCTAACCCTTTGCCAAAAGGCAGGATTTGCGGTGTCTAAACCAGTGGTCCCCAAACTTTTTCACTTGTGCCTCTGCGCCCCTCCAGGGAGCTGTGGTGAGAGGGCAGTGAGTGGAGTAGGATAAGGGAGGGGGAGCTGTGCTCCAGAGTGGAGAGGTGACTGGGGCAGGGTGTGGGGGGGGAGAGGAGCTACAATCGGGACAGGATAGGGGAGATGCCAGTACTTCTCTTTCCCGAGTTTCAGAATAGCAGCTGTGTTAGTCTGTATCCGCAAAAAGAATAGGAGTACTTGTGGCACCTTAGAGACTAACAAATTTATTTGAGCATAAGCTTTTGTGGGCTACAGCCAACTTCATCAGATGCATAGAATGGAACATATAGTAAGAAGATATATATACATACAGAGAACATGAAAAGGTGGAAGTAGCCATATCAACTGTAAGAGGCTAATTAATTAAGATGAGCTATTATCAGCAGGAGAAAAAATAAACTTTTGTAGTGATAATCAAGATGGGCCATTTTAGAGAGTTGACAAGAAGGTGTGAAGATAATTAACATGGGGAAATACTGAATTATGTATAATGACCCAGCCACTCCCAGTCTCTATTCAAACCCCAGTTATTGGTATCTAGTTTGCATATTAATTCAAGTTCAGCAGTTTCTCGTTGGAGTCTGTTTTTGAAGCTTTTCTGTTGCGAAATTGCCACCTTTAAGTCTGTTACTGAGTGACCAGAGAGGTTGACGTGTTCTCCTACTGGTTTTTGAATGTTATGATTCCTGATGTCAGATTTGTGTCCATTTATTCTTTTGTGTAGAGACTGTCCGGTTTGGCCACGGCAGAGGGGCATTGCTGGCACATGATGGCATATATCACATCGGTAGATGTGCAAGTGAACAAGCCCCTGATAGCATGGCTAATGTGATTAGGTCCTATGATGGTGTCATTTGAATAAATATGTGGATAGAGTTGGCATCAGGCATCTAACGCCACATTCTACAGGCCATTATCCTCTGATCCCACTGATGATTACCAAAAGAAACTACACCATCTGCTCAAGAAACTCCCTGAAAAAGCACAGGAACAGATCTGTACAGATATGCCTAGAACTCCGACCAGGGGTATTTTATTTCTACCCAAGATCCATAAACCTGGAAATCCTGGATGCCCCATCATCTCAGGCATTGGCACCCTAACAGCAGGATTGTCTGGCTATGTGGACTTTCTCCTACGCTACCAGCACTCCCAGCTATCTTTGAGACACCAATGACTTCCTGAGGAAACTGCAATCCAACGGTGATCTTCCAGAAACCACCATACTGGCTGCTATGGAAGCTCTCTACACCAACATTTCACACAAAGATGGACTACTAGCTATCAGGAACAGTATCCCCGATAATGTCACGGCAAACCTCACCCACAACTATTTCACATATGGGGACAATATATACACCTCTATCTTGATACAACGCTGTCCTCGGGAGCCAAAAATCTTACCACGTTATAAGTGAAACCGTGTTATATTGAACTTGCTTTGATCCACCGGAGTGCGCAGCCCCTCCCCACCCCGAGCACTGCTTTACTGATTTATATCAGAATCCGTGTTATATCGGGTCGCGTTATATCGGCGTAGAGGTGTACCTTCAAGTCCAGGGAATTAGCTCATTTCCAGCTCTTTTTCTCAGGGTTCTGTCCTCTGAAGTACTCCCGCAGTCTCTGGGTCTCCCCATCCAGGGGAACCCCCAACCCTCTATCCCCACCTTGCCTCAGTGGCTACTGCCAGTCATCATCGAGCCCCCGCTCCTTGGAGCAGACGGCAGTCTATAAACCACTCATCATTGGCAAGGGGGGTTGGACCAGCTGCCTCTGACTATATCTGGGCTGCCCCTCTGCAGCCCTAGTACCCTTTAGGGGGCCCTCACTCGGCCTGCAGCCTGGGGCTTTGCTAGGCTGGAGCTCCCCAGCTCCCTCTGCCCTTCCCCATAGATTCATAGATTCTAGGACTGGAAGGGACCTCAAGAGATCATCAAGTCCAGTCCCCTGCCCTCATGGCAGGACCAAATACTGTCTAGACCATCCCTGATAGACATTTATCTAACCTACTCTTAAATATCTCCAGAGATGGAGATTCCACAACCTCCTTAGGCAATTTATTCCAGTGTTTAACCACCCTGACAGTTAGGAACTTTTTCCTAATGTCCAACCTAGACCTCCGTTGCTGCAGTTTAAGCCCATTGCTTCTTGTTCTATCCTTAGAGGCTAAGGTGAACAAGTTTTCTCCCACCTCCTTATGACACCCTTTTAGATACCTGAAAACTACTATCATGTCCCCTCTCAGTCTTCTCTTTTCCAAACTAAACAAACCCAATTCTATCAGCCTTCCTTCATAGGTCATGTTCTCAAGACCTTTAATCATTCTTGTTGCTCTTCTCTGGACCCTCTCCAATTTCTCCACATCTTTCTTGAAATGTGGTGCCCAGAACTGGACACAATACTCCAGTTGAGGTCTAACCAGTGCAGAATAGAGCGGAAGAATGACGTCTCGTGTCTTGCTCACAACACATCTGTTAATGCATCCCAGAATCATGTTTGCTTTTTTTGCAACAGCATCACACTGTTGACTCATATTTAGCTTGTGGTCCACTATAACCCCTAGATCCCTTTCTGCCGTACTCCTTCCTAGACAGTCTCTTCCCATTCTGTATGTGTGAAACTGATTTTTCCTTCCTAAGTGGAGCACTTTGCATTTGTCTTTGTTAAACATCATCCTGTTTACCTCAGACCGTTTCTCCAATTTGTCCAGATCATTTTGAATTATGAACCTGTCCTCCAAAGCAGTTGCAATCCCTCCCAGTTTGGTATCATCTGCAAACTTAGTAAGCGTACTTTCTATGCCAATATCTAAGTCGTTGATGAAGATATTGAACAGAGCCGGTCCCAAAACAGACCCCTGCGGAACCCCACTTGTTATACCTTTCCAGCAGGATTGGGAACCATTAATAACTACTCTCTGAGTATAGTTATCCAGCCAGTTATGCACCCACCTTATAGCCCCATCTACTGCTAGTAGCCCCTTGTATTTGCCTAGTTTATCGATAAGAATATCATGCGAGACCGTATCAAATGCCTTACTAAGACTATCATGCGAGACCGTATCAAATGCCTTACTCCCCAGCACTGCTCCACCCTAGATACCCTCCTCAGCTTCCCAGACAGCCAGGTCCCTTCTCTCTCAGTGAAGCTAGAGAGTCTGTCTGTCTTTCTTCTGGCCCACAGCCCTCTTATAAGGGCCAGCTGGGCCCTGATTAAGCTGACCACAGCTGTGGCTGCTTTCCCAATCAGCCTAGCTTTCCCTGCTGCAGCCCTCTCCAGGGCTGCTTTATCACCCTCAGGCAGGAGCGGGGTCACCACCCCTCTACAGCAACCTAAAATTGCATTTGCTTTTCTTGCAATGGCACTACATTGCTGACTAATGCTGAGGTTGATATTCACCACAACTCCAAGATCCTTCTCAGCAGTGCTGTTGCAAAGCCAATTTTTCCTCATTCTGTATTTGTGCATTTGGTTTTGCTTCCCTAAATGTAGCACCTTACATTTGTCTTTGTTGAATTTCATTTTGTTGTCTATAACCCAGTTTTCCAATTTTTCAAGATCCCTTTGAATTTTAGCTCTATCCTCCAAAGTATTGGCAACTCCCCCCCCCCCCGCCCAGCTTTGTGTCATCTGCAAACTTGATCAGTATGCTCTCTATACCTATATCAAGCTCATTAATAAACATGTTAAACAACACTGGACCCAGAACAGATCCCTATTGAACCTCACTTGAGACCTTCCTCCAAACCGACATCATTCCATTAATAGATACTCTTTGTTTGAGGTTGTTTAATCAGTTATGTATCCACTTAATAATAGTTCTGTTGAGGCTCCATTTCTCTAGCTTACTTATTAGAATATCACGTGGGACTGTGTCAAAAGCCTTGCTGAAGTCCCGGCATATTATGTCCACCACATTCCCCCCTATCCACCAAATCAGTTGCCCTGTCAAAGAAGGAAATCAAGCTGGTTTGGCATGATTTGTTCTTGGTAAATCTATGTTGGCTGCCAGTGATTGCCTTCATCCTGCAGGTATTTGCAAACTGAATGTTTTATAAATTGCTCTAGTAGCTTCCCAGGTATCGAAGTCAAGCTGACTGGTCTTCAGTTTCTTGGCTCCTCCTTTCCCCCTTTTTAAAGATGGGCACTATCTTAGCCCTTCTTCAGTCTTCCGGGACCTCTCCTATCATCCATGAGTTTGTAAATATTATTGCTTGTGGCTCTGAGATTTCTTCAGCTAATTCCTTCAGTAACCTCGGGTAAATCTGACCTCACTGATTTGAATTCATTCCAATTGGTCAGATGATCTCTGACGTCTTCTTTAATTATCCCGATCTGCATCCCTTCCTCTTTATTTTCTATGGTAACTTCGCTAGTTGTCTGGTCACATGTCATTTTTTGTGAGAAGACTGAAACCAAGTAGACATTGAGCAGCTCTGCCTTCCTATCATCTTCCATTACTAGCTCACCTTCTCCATTGAGCAGTAGACCCACACCATCTAACCTTTGATCAAACGCTTTCTAACCTTTGGTTCCAAGCAAAGCGCTTGAGAAAGTTGCATCTTATCTCTCTACTCAATACTTCTCACCTAACAATATACTTGAATATGTTTTCATTCTGGGTTTTGCTGGTAGTGACACAAAAGAGGTCGGAGAGGCCTGCCCCATGTAATTAATACCTCCACATTTTTGCTGAGGAAGGCAGCCATTGATTTTCTTTTCCTTTACTAGATTGCAGCCTTTGACCCCGGATTAAGCCATCCTCCTGGACTGCTTACATACCTATGGTAAAGTCAGTGGTTCCCTCCTATTGTGGTTTTGTGCTTCTCTATTAAAACCACATTCTCTTCGTCTTTGGTAGTAGCTATTTCTTTGAGCCAAGAGAGTCCCTTTTGTTTTAGTTCTCAGCCTTCTCCTCATATTTTTTCTTCTTGTTCCTCTGCTCTCATTTTTCTATAATTTTTACACTATAGATACTGTTTTTGACACCCTGAAGGACTCCCTCCCTGTCCAGTCTCTCCACTTGTCTTGATTGCATAAACGGGTGGCTCCATCTCATGTTTTGTAAATGCTGGAGTGGGGAATACTTGCATTTGGAAGATCATAGAAAATAGAGCTGTAGTAACTGGAGTGAGAGAAGGCAAAGGGAAACTCAACTAAATGTCTTAAAGACAGTCATGTTTCTCATGCAGTCTCCACAACTGCATTTCTCTAGTCCCGTCTCAGATCCACTCTTTCCACTTGCTTCCACTATTAATAACTATGGCATAATCCTATTCTGTTCTCCCTGTTCCATACACAACAACAAGGGGACAGTCATTGATATTAAAAGGTAGCAAATTCAAAACTAATCAAAGGAAATACTTTTCACTCAACATATAATTGGACTGTTGAAGTCAATGCTACAGGATACTGTTGAGGCCAAACATTCAAAATGAAATCAAACTTTTATATAGATAACAAATATCCCTAGTTATAATGACAACAAATTCTGGAAGAAATTTTAAACCTCATGCTTCACAGTTTAAATCAATCTCTAATAATAAGGGAATGGGATGGACCTAACATGGTGGGACATTATCCTACATCTTAATATGAGATTTCTTGCAGTTTCCTCTGATATACCTGGTACAGGCCACAGTCAGAGACAGGATACTAGACTAGATGGGACCACGGATCTGATCCAGAATGGCAATTCCTACATTTCTATGGTTGAACTAGAGCGTTTATCTTTTAGAACGACATCCAATCTTGAAACAAGTCCCTCAGCTGTTGCCTTCTGCCAGTGATTATCAAAATAGAAAGCCTCATAAAAGTCCAATTTTATTTTGAAATTATTACAGTTCCAATGCAATGATTTTCATCTAAATAAATTCTATGAATCTCCTGTCTGAACCTTTATTTGAAACCTAAATGGTCTAATTATAGTCCTGAAATTTCTTCCTCTACTGCAAGATGAATCCCAGTGATGCTCCTGGTATAACAAAAAGACACTGCATCCCTGCAGGGTAGGAAGAATGTTATGACCCCAGGAATATAGAGTCTCCAGTGAGTTATTTTCCTATTCATACAGTTGTATCTTTCCCATCTTGCTGTCCAGATTTCAATTTCAATCCTTAATGACAAGGCGTATTGTCCTTAGTGAGTGGAACCTATGAAGTTTAGGATTTATTCATTCAAGACTGAAGATGCCATATTTGGCATAAGCTACCAGAGCATTCAATCAGAACAATACTGGAAACACTTGATTTCACAGAAACACGTATCTTAACCACAGAATGTTAATGAAATATACAATTATTAGTTTCCCCTTATTTGATATATTTTACATCTGTTTATCTTGTTGGATGGCAAGACTGGGCCCCTCATATTTGAGAGTGAGGGTCTGTGGCCAGACCATTATGACCCCAATTCAAGAAAATCATCCTATTTAGGACAGCATTTAAGCACATACTTAAGTCCCATTACGTCAATGAAACTAAGTATGTGCTTAAAAATCAGTCATGTGATTAACTGCTGCCCTGAATGGGAATGGACTTGAGCACATGCTTAAGTGTTTTTCTGAATCAGGTGCTATCTGCATGGTCAAGAATTACAGATCAATGGCCAAGCATGTTGAATCAACTTTTGCCAGCACCAGTCTCCATATAAACTCAGATGAAGCACCCAAATGTCCTGAATGTTCACCTGAAGAATGATCTGGTGACAGGAACTGAGTGGATTTTTCAGTCCGAT